AAAAAAGTAGAAAGTTTTAATTTCATTTTAAATAGAATAGAAGGAATGACTCTTCGATATTAATTAGTTGTGATACTCTCTTTCTTCGAACCGCTCTGTACAATCAGTAAGAAGATTTAATTTTAATCTCGCAGATTTTACGACATGAAAGATAGAAGAAACGGAGGCATGTAAATTTTATTTTGTGCGCGTTCCCTTTGAAACAGCCTGTTGTGTAGAGCTGTGTAGAGCCACCGGAGCGGACTGACTGACAGGTTTAATTCTCAAGGTAGCTAGAGCGAGTAATCCGCGCCGGGCTGCAAAGTATTAATACAAAATTTTACGATGTTGCTCGAGATGCATGGCGGCCGACAATGGAGTCGCACGAGATACGAAATGCAGCACAATGTTTCCGTCCGTTGGTCTCATATTCGGTGGAACGGGTCTGTAGCACGAGGTTGAAATAGGTCGGTCGTAAAAGTCCCGCTATAAATTCACCCCAATGTCTCCGCGATGTCTCCGATGGAGCCTTCACGTAGGGGAGCGTGATCGTAAAAACGCTGCGATTCCACGCGTTTCAACCTATCCTCTCCTCTCTCATCTTTGCCAACCGTCTTGCCTCCGCATTTTCTTTTCTTTTTTTTTTTTTTTTCTTTTTTTTTTTTTACTACCGTTTCAACGCCAGAGTAACGGAAAATTAAGTGGCGATAAGTTTTGGATTGTTTTCTGCGTGGATAACGCGATTAGAGAAAATAGTGGTTGGCAGGATCGGAGGGATGAATTCGGTTGTGGCGAAATAATACTTGATATGATAGAATTTTTATTTTAATATTTTTCTAAATTTAGAAAATTTACAAAGTTCGAAATTTAAAGAGAAAGGGGGAAAAGGATGTTGAAATTTCCTTTTCCACTCTCTTTGGAAAAATATTTTATTTCATAAATTACAATTTATGAGTTTCTCTATTAATTTAAGGGTAGTTTTTTAGTGTTCATCGTTGGATAAAAATCGATACTCGAGAAACGCTCGCATACGTGCCACGATCTTGACTCCGGAACCATTTATTTGGGATTCGATATACCTGGTTCCGGGAACGTATTCAACGTATTCCATGATTGGAAGAAGGTAGCAGCTGACGGGGAATGGCACGCTTTCCTGAGCGGCCATCCCTCAGGGATCGGAAGGGAGGTCTTTATGCGTCAAACCCATTGTGTTGCGATCTTGCGAGTATAAACGTAACGCGACATGTGATTCCTGCACCTGAATTCGCCTGCAAGAATCAAGAATTTTTCCTCGTCTATCCTATATATAAACAACGCATATACTAATCTCTAATGGGAAGAAATTAAATTAAATTGTACAATTTCATTTCCATTTCACTTTTTTCGTTTCTTAAGCAACGAAAGATATTTCTTTGGAATTTAAAAATTGATTTTCATCCAATAACGAGACTCTTAATTGTAATTCAATATCGAAATTCAAAACGATCCAATATCTACTGTAATAAAAAGATCAAATTTAAAAACATGAAATTTTTACGAACATAGCTCGACATGGAATAAAAATCAACTCTATCCAGATAAACGATTGACTCCAAAAAAGATAGAAAAATTCAAGTGTAGGAATAGATGCGCGAGAGAAGAATAGAACGCGAGGTTGATTTCATCGAAACTGATCCCGGCTCAGGTACACCTTTCTCGAAAATACATCTGAAAAATAGGGAATCGATTGTCGCGAGGGAAATCTCGGTTGGAACGGTCGTCCCGTTCCTTTTAAAGTTTAAAAGCGCGCTCACCGTGTTCGTTCGGGGTAGGTAGGGAGGAGGAGGGCTGAGGAGAGCCTCGTCAAAGACGCAACCTCGTGGACCTTAACTCGATCCATTCAGGATCGGTCCTCGTGCAGAGGCACTTTGTGAGCCGCGAGTACAATGAAGGCAGCCGAGCCGAAAGGTACCTGCCGTCCGTGTATATACCTTTCAGCCCGTGGACACCTGCGCAACGAGACTTTTGATTTTTCTCCTTGCCCTGCACCCTGCCAAATTTGTCATTCATCCGGCTCTGACACGGCCCCGTATGATTTCGGCCGCGACCTAGCCAGGTATTCCGGAAATCGGATCAACGTTCAAGATCGCGCCATTCCAAGGTCGTTAATACTTGAAGAATATATTGCGAAATTTTCCAGAGTTTTTGGGTTGGACGAGAGTAGTTTATCGACTCGATAGAATATTTAATTTGGATTTAATTTAATTTATTTGAAAATTTGAAAGATCGTTATAAAGATTATATTTGGAAAATGAAGGTTTTTGATATGAGAGAAGAAGAAGCTGAGGATACTTTTCATTTTAAAATAATTGATTTAAAAATGAACTCGAGTTGTAACCAATATAACGTTCGAAGAAGAGAATTACTATTATCCATTCCTTTCGAACGAAAATGAAAAAAATGAGTCAAATTTATACCTACGCTCTGATCTTCTTCGTTTCATCGCATTCTCGGTTACCAATTAATCAAAAGACAGCCATCTTTCCCAGCAACGCGAATCAAAACGGTTGGAAAAGTGGCGTGTCGAGAGAGGAAGACGTGAAAAGAGGGAAGAGGACGATGCTCGCTCGCCATACGTAACCGCCTAATCCCTTTGGGCTGCTGTCGGAGTCAATGGCGCGGGGCACGCGATAGAAAAAAAGGGGTGAAGGATCGTCCTAGCCGGAAGCTCGTACGCGAGGAGGCCTGGGCCCTCATAATAAGTCCCTCCGCCACGGTGACGAAGGTAAAACGTCGTATGTGCCGACATTAACCAAATCTGAACAAACACTGGATCCCGTTTCTACACCTTCTTTCTCTCTCCCTCTCGCTGGGAACAGCTGGATCGGGCTCGGGAACAGGGGCTTCATCCATCCCCCCAAAGGTCGAGCCTCGGGCCATGGAATAAAAATGAGCACCCAGAAACGGTACATCGGGTCTCATTCAACGAAACTCGTGCCCCGATAGATACGGGAAAACCTGATCGCGAACGAACCTGATGATGCACTGCGAAGGGAAATTTGTATTGTTAAGGCTGGCCCGTTCGGAGAGAGTTATTTTCCCTTCTCTTATTTCTACGGTGCTTAAAAAACTTTAACACTTTGCTTTCTTTTATCATTATTTGAAAAAGTTTTAAAAATTTCGCAATCTTCTTGGAATATTTTAAAATTCTCCTCTCTTCGCTTCGAAAATTTCAAAGCGACGAATAATAAAATTCCATCGATGACACGAAATTGTTATTCGGGAAAAACATTGGAACGACGAAGCGAACGACATCGAAACGATGGATGGAATGGGATGGAATGCGGGGGGAAAGGGAGGGGGAATCGGATCGAAGCCCGTTAAATCGCAAAGTCGTGCAGGAAGAATCGTAATTATCCAACACGTGTACCTGTGCACGAACGACGACGGGTGATATCGGCTCGAGGTCGCGATCCCCTCATAATGGGAGTAACCGACGCGAAGAATGCAGACCGACCCTGAACCTCCTCCCGCCACGTCCCGTGACAAAGATCAAGGTGGTCCGGAATGGTACGCGTCGCTAGCCGTGATCGCTAAACGCATTTTCACAGTTATGCAATTCGAGCACGCACCGCTGCATTGACGGACTGCGATCGTAAGCGAACATGATTTTTATTAACACCTTGATTACCGTTCCCTTCGTCGTATAATTTTCCAATAAATTAACCGACATTGTTGATCGACCAAGCTTTCGTGGAAATATCGTTCGAAACATTGCGGTCTTTTCTTTTCTTTTTTTACAAAAACCGTTCTTCGATAGATCGTGTGCACACGAATGTTAATGTAAACGAGTAACGCGAAGAATAATTTTAACAAAAAACGAATGGAAAGGACTTGAAAAATTTTCGTATCCTATCACATTTCAATGGTAAATGTTTATTTTTTCTTATATATATATATATTCTCTTCGAGGAAAAAGAATTTTGGATTAATTTAAAACCATGAAATTACGTTAATCAACGTAATTCAATCCCACCCAATTTACCATATTGCATCAGTTTCTCGGAAAACCTTCGTCCGATCTATTTTTAAACAAAAATAGAAAAATTTCCTCGTCGTTCAACAGTCGTAATAACGAACACATCGATGGCTAGAGATCCGAGTTTGCTATCCGAGCTATACAAATTAATTTGCATGCCACGTATACGCCTGTTCTTCTCGGAAACAGGACCGGATGAATCGAGTTGGTTTATCCGGTGCCACGTTCATCGAGGGCGGGGAACAATGACTCGGCCGAGGAGAGGATCGCTCTCGATTTTCTTTCGCCCGTCCCTGTCGCCCGCGACGGCTTCGTTCCGTTCTAGGACGTGTTCGTCTTCGTTGCCGTGGATTGATAATCCTGATGGACGTCACGATAGTATTAGCGTCATGGCGATCGCCGCGAGTTGACGTCCGTGCAAAGAGCGAAACAGGAAGAAAAGGAGCGGAGGCCAAGAAGAGGAGGCCGCCCGTGTGTCGGCCTCGGGAACCTGATATCGGCGCGGTTTTATGAACGGTCGTGGAACAGCGCTATCGGAACAAGGATGCATCGATGTTCCTTCCTATCTGGTTCGAGTATCGCGGAGACTGGCGTCGTTGAATCGATACCGATGAAATTGTTTAAAATGATTTATACGTGAAATCAATTTCACGCCACAACTTATTATCGAATAATTATCGCGCGACTATTATTGACGTTCGACACCGATTATTATTATTATATTTGTTTCGGTTTAAATTTGAATCATTCGAACAAAGAAAAAATCTAATATCTCAATGTGGGCTATCAATATTGATCGAGGTAAGAATCCACGAATAATCGCAACAATTTTTGTGTTTTCAGACTTGACGAGACACTGGGAAAAAATAAACGAGAAAAGGATCAATTGATAATTGGTACGGACGAATAATTTCTCTCGCTTAAATTCCAACGAAGATCGATGAAGAAATGGATATAAATCGCAACAATTTTTGTCTTTTAGACTTTGTAGCTTGCTGGAAAAAAATTAACGAGGAAAAGATCCTGATCAAGGATCCTACGATCCTATAATTTCTCTCGTCTAAATTCGAACGAAATACAAACGAGTAAGAGGAAATGGATGAAGAGACGCATATAAATCGGCGAAAATGGTAGAGACGGACGGTAGCACAGGATCCTGACGAGAAGAACCAGGTGCTGGCGCGGGGCGCGTGTCCAGATTGGGGTAGGGGGCAGGTGGGCCCCCTGCATTGTCAATCTCTGCCTTTCTGTACCTCGTGGCTGCTTGCCTGGCTGCATGTGTGATCGTGTTTCCCGTGTCCCGACGAAGGGTTCCCCCGTGGACAAGGAGGAGCGCAGTTGTGTAAGTGTCACCCATACGGCCAAACAGCCACGGGGCTTCGGAGGGTGCAGCCAACACATAATGAGGTTGTATGCGGCAGAAGAGGGGTGCTCGGGATGGCGATGGGGATGCCGTACCTTCGCTCACCTAGTCGAACGAGTGTACTCTCGCTCTATTGTACGCGGAAAAGGCAGGTGATGAGAACGGTCGCCACCACGCGACTCTGTTGTGCGCCGCGGTTCTCATCGCGGGGATCCTCGTGATTCACGGAGTTATAAAGTGCCGATGAAAATCGAATACGATTTTTAAATATTTTTCTAGATTCGTTTTATTATTCTAATTTAGACTATTCTGATCTAGACCTTACTCGATTTCGAAGAATTTTTAGAAAGAGGGAAGCGAATTTTCAATCGATCGTCGTTATTAAATATCTTCGAAGAAAACAAGAGAAGAGAATAAATTTGATACTCAGTGAATTTTGTATACGAGAGAAGGGAAGATACGAAGCGTTTATAATTATGAACGAGGAAGAAGAAGAAGAAGAAAATAAAATTTGAGAAATGGAATCATCAAATCGGGGTGAGGAGAGGGAATTGAGAACCCTTGCGATCTCGCAGTATATCCCGGTATTGCACCATTGCACCACGGACTGCAGCGCGCAAAACACTTCTCCCCACTCGGTATCGATGGCCGTGCAGAGAGCACGTGCCATCAGCTGTCTCCGCTGGACCACAGCTGAAGCGGAGGAGGCGCGCGAGCACAATGAAACCGCATGCAACGGTTCCGGTCAGTAACAGTGTCTTCCAAAAACCGTACATCGATATTCAAACATCCGAAAAATATTCCCTCGATACCTCACGCTAAACGAAACCATCTCTCTCCGCAACTACCCACACCTCCATCTAACGGGAACTTGTAATTTTAAAATCGAATCACCATCATCTCTCTCTCTCTCCCCCTTCCTCTCTCTCCCAGACCATGAATATTCAATTGTTCCACGTGACCCTGTTTCAAAGCGTGTCGCCTATCGTCTACCCACGATAAATCCCAGTTTCTCATATCCGGAGCGGAATTAACACGGTGAGACGAAAGCTCTCTCTCTCTCTCTCTCTCTCTTTCTCCTTCTAGAGAGAGAGTCGGTTGAATATCAAAAAGAAATGAAAGGAACGACACGGGGGTGGCCGAGGAGTTACGATCTCCCCTACACGCGGGACGAAAATCGTAAATCTGAAAAAAACGCAGTAAATCTACGGGCACGGACAATGCGGCTCGAGTCGGAAGCGCGGAGATGAACGCGCGGATCACTGGCACCGCCGTCTCGCCGTGGCCAATGAGATTACGCTCTTCTCGCGCGAGCTTACGCTCTCCCGCTCCTCGACCGCCTCGGTTCCGGTTCTTGCGGTCATCCGTAGCGACTCGAAAGCCTTCCAGTCTACCTGCTCCTGCTTTTTACATTCTTTACATATCGTCGCTGATACTTTGTAACTTTCCACTTTCATCCTTACAAGATTGCTCGTTCTCTGTTTCTCTCTGATAGAAAGTCGAGGAACGATACAAGAGAATTTCGCGCTTCGATCGATGATGGTTTCATTTACTCTAATTATAATTCCTCTGCGACTGTTTCCTCCGTGATAGATATCTTAGAAAATTTACACACCTTTTGTTGAGTTACACTGCGTTACAAAAATTCCGGGACAAAGGGTGCTCGATAAATCGACGAACGATTTTAATCATTTCCTTCTTTTACTCCGAAATTAACTCGATTCCTCCCGTTGTCAATTGTCATATCGGTTCGAATCTCGATTCGAAATTATTCTCGTGATTTTCAAATTATACGACCACCTATATTCTCTAGTCCATTTCCCCCCACGTATACCGGAAGGATATACCTCGGCGACCCAAGAAGCTATCTCAGCCTCTCATTAACGAGCACTAGTGTCTCTCCTTTCTCGCGCTCGTAACTCACCATGGCTCTTGCTCCGTTCTCGTTTTCTCTTCTCTCGACTCTGTCCATCCACCTTTCTCTTCCAACCGACTTCACGTCTCCGTTTCGCTATCGCGCACACTCGGCCGCCTCCGTCCACCGTGTCCACCTTCCTTCCTCTTCCCTGGCTACGGCGAGAAACATAATAGCGCGGTTCTTAAACACCTAGACAACACCGGGTAAGACAATCCTCCTATCAGCGCCGGCGTAATAGCCAGACAGGCAGTCAGCCAGCCAGCCAGCCAGCCGCTAAGGACAATTGCTTCGCGGCTCGCTGTTGCGGCGTGGGCTCGAGCTCGTTCCTCAGCCGACCTAGCAGCCTGTTCCACGATCGCATACCTACGTCTAGCCGACAAACCGCCTTAAGGTTCGCCCATAAATGGAAGCGCACGACCGCAACACCGTGCATCTTCCTCCTTCTTCCTACTTCGGGGGACCATCCTCGAAACGGATTTGGATAACGTTCAACTTTAGCGATTTTCGTAGCGATTCGATAGTTTTCCGGATTATTGAATTATTATTATGGAAATTGTTAATAACGGGAGAAAGTGGCTCTCGATTGCTCTCGAACGATTTTATCGTTACTTTTAGAGAAACATTGAAAAAAGGATGCGTTTTTCAATCTATTTTTGAACATTCAAGAAATCACGATATCGTTTTGAGAATGAGAATATACACGATATAGTTAAGAGATGATATTTCGTATATATCGAAGATGATTAAATATCACGACACTTGGATTCATTCACAAGTTTTTACTGTATTTAATTATCGTCCTCCTAGTTTCGAAAAGTGTACCCCTACTAAAGAGGATTAACAAAAATCAACTTCCTACTAAAGCTAAGCTCTAACTCGTAACAATGTATCAAGAACTTTCGATGACCTTGCTGCATCGGGACAATTCCCACTTCCACTTGAGATCCGAACGAAATTTAAAAGATAAGAGTTTAGAAACGTTGTACCGCCTCCCACAACCGGTTCACCTCGGCCCCGTGTCAACACACGCGGCAAACAAATTACTTTCGAGCAATCGAGATTCAACGAATCTCCTTGATCCGATCAAAACCGATCCGTCTACCGATCTGAAACACCGAGGACGCGTGACGTTACAAATTCGCCGGGCAGTGAGACGCGAAACTTGGTGGAAACGCTAACGTGTCTTGCTAACACGGGCCAAGTACTCGTGTAACAAACGCCAACGACACCGTTTCCTCTCTTTCTTCCCGTTCCGTGACAACCGTCTAATGGACCGATCGATCGGCCACGTGTGCACGGTGCTTAACGTCGAATCGATCCCAGATTCGCAAAGATCTGCTTTCTCCATTCGGTTCCCTTCCACGCAGACAGTTTCTCCAAAGGGCTGCCACGGTAGCGCCCGTTCACCTAATACCCTTCTCGGCTATCAATCATACGCGTTTAATGCGCCAAAGACTCAGTTTGCACCCGACTAACTTGCATAACCTGGACAAAGCACGGCGAGATCTGGATAAGGGGAACGATTCAATCGAGACGACGACGATGACGATGGTTGGTGGAAGGAGGCCAGTCGTATGTACGAACGTGTAAAAATGATTATCCTGCGCTGGGTACTTAATTATACCGGTGTGGCGGTTAACAGCGGTTTCACCGATCCTCGGAACGCGAAAGAAAAGCGTGCAACATTCTGGGAAGAAAGTTCCCGGACGCGACACGTGGGCTGGCCTAATACGCTTTGCGGCTATCGATCATGCCGCACGCACACCTACGAAAAACGGGAGCGTGATTGTGCGCGCGTTGCATAACGCCAATTTCTACGAAGAGAAGTGTTGGGGGAAATTGGGGAATTGATCGATGGATTCGAGAAAATGGAGGGAATAGAGGTTGAGGACTAGGATCTTGGTTGATAGTTTTGTTTCGTCGGATGGTTTGAGATATAGTGATTTTTAAACTATCCTTGAGAATATAACTTGAGAATAATACTTAAAAAGAATGGTTCGGAATATTCTTTGAATAAATTATTCCTTCGTGATTCGATCGATCATTATTAAAGGATCAAAGAATGGACTTAAACATAGATCTTCGATCGATCTTCTGCCGTTTAATTTACTTGCATCCGTTCATGCGTCAGTCAGGTGAAACAATGATGGACTAGGATCTTGGTTGATAGTTTTGTTTCGTCAAATTTTGTCGGATGGTTTGAGATATAGTGATTTTTAAACTATCTACGAATTAATTTGTTGAATCGAACTAGAAATATATATTGAGAATAATATTTGAAAAGAATGGTTCTGGAATATTCTTTGAATAAATTATTCCTTCGTGATTCGATCGATCATTATTAAAGGATCGAAGAATGGACTTAAACATAGATCTTCGATCGATCTTCTGCCGTTTAATTTACTTGCATCCGTTCATGCGTCAGTCAGGTGAAACAATGATGGACTAGGATCTTGGTTGATAGTTTTGTTTCGTCAAATTTTGTCGGATGGTTTGAGATATAGTGACTTTTAAACTATCCACGAATTAATTTGTTGAATCGAACGACTTGAGAATAATATTTGAAAAGAATGGTTCGGAATATTCTTTGAATATATAAATTATCCGTTCGTGATTCGATCGAAGAATGGACTTAAACACAAATCTTCGATCCTCATTTAATTTACTTGCATCCGTTCATGCGTCAGTCAGGTGAAACAATGATGGACTAGGATCTTGGTTGATAGTTTTGTTTCGTCAAATTTTGTCGGATGGTTTGAGATATAGTGACTTTTAAACTATCCACGAATTAATTTGTTGAATCGAACGACTTGAGAACAATATTTGGAAAGAATGGTTGGGAATATTCTTTGAATAAATTATCTCTTCGTGATTCGATCGAAGAATGGATTTAAACGAAAAACACAAATCTTCTCATTTAATTTACTTGCATCCGTTATAATACACGAATCCGTTCATCCGTCAGTCAGGTGAAACAATGATGGAGGGATCGGAAGATTAGCGGGCCCGCAACGGAAATCTCGATTCCTTTGGTGACCCCGAAGGAAGGGTGGTCACAAAAGCAGTGGCAGTGGTGTAAACGGAGGTGATTGCAAATCTTTATAGCGCTCTCGAGTGGCCAGGTGCACGTGGAATAATGGTGTACGTACACCGGCGACGATCTAGATACTTTAGAGTTCCGGCGCGATTTATATACGGGTAGTATTTTTTTTCTCTTTTCTTTTTCTTCTTTTTAATTCTTCTTCCCCGCGACTAAGGAGGCAATAATTTCGTCTCCACGAGGAGAGGGAGACGAGACGTGGAGAATTCTCCTCCTTCCAGCGGAAGAATCGTTTCTCGAGTGCTCACTCACGCCAATCATCGTCCATCGCCCTAATAACGATCAACAACCGTTTCTTTTCTTTCTTCTTCTCGTTAGTTTCGTATATACGCGTCATACCTGTCGTCGTTACACCGTGGCGTGTAAGGGACGGTGAAAGAGTTTCACGAGCAAGGCTACTTCACTCTCTTTCAACCGTGCCGTGAGAATCGAATCGAATAAAATTGAATTACGCGATTCGAGCGCTATAACCTCGCCACAGGGGCCGGCTCATTATTCCATGCTTCGGAGCTCGTAACCGCTTTTTCTCATCGTTCCTTCCTTTCTTCGATTTCGAGTGCGATACGGGATGCTCGAACACCAGATTTAAGATAATTATACGATATTAAGAGTGATCTGTTCAACGTGATCTGATCTAATGATTATCTTATCAGGTGAAAACCAAATAAAAAAGAATAATAATCCAAAACTTCTCCAGAGAAAAAGACGAAACTATTCCACGAAAAGGGTCGAAAGATATTTCACCCTTACTCGTTAATCCACTCGTGAAACCCATTTCCAAGAAATTCCCGCGAACCCCTCTTCTAAAAGAAAAAAAAAAAAAAAAAAAGAAAAAAGAAAAAAAAAGCAACCCAACAGATCCTCCGATTTGTCAACGCGCACCATTCCAAAAATTCCAGCCCCCTCCGCGTTCCACCTTCCAAACCCAAACATCCCTAAAAGCCATGGAGCGGGACCGTTAAAAGCCGATACAGAGAACGCATCGATGGACACCGATTCGGGGAGAGGGTGGCTTTTAGACACCGTGAAACATCATCGGTGAGGGGGTAGCCCTCCACTGTTGGGTGCCGATGCACGCAAAACGCGGACAGATGCATGTGCACCTTTTTAGGTCCATCGGCGGGCTGCGACACATGCGCTTCCCAGGTACACGCGCGTAACAAGCGTATTCCGCGTACGTGCACACATGTCACCCCCCCCTTTGGTTTGCGTGTCTGAGTGCGCGTGTACACGGGCCAACGGCACAATGCCAATAATAACCTATCGCCCTCGTCGCATCCCTCGTCGCAGATTCCAGCAGATGCTGGCTGGCTGGCTGGCTGGCTCGAGCAGCCCCTACACGGGGGTCTAGTTTTGTCTAGGAGGGGTTGGCCGCCGGCTTTTCTCGCTCACAATGCGAGCGGCACCGGCAGGTGTGGACTCCCCTCGGTTCGTGGCGGGCGCGTGCCCCACACGAGCGGGGGCGGGGTACCTCTTTCTCCGTCTGGCCTCCATCCCGGGGCCATCATCCTCCCTTGTTCCTCCGCTCCTTCCTTCTCCGAGAGGAGAGGAGGAGAAGACGTCTTGGGACGACACATGTCTCGCCTCGACGTTGAACGACGAGATCCTCGCCCCTCTCGTTGTTCGCGCACCGGAAAACCTTCGAGTTGGAGGTCGAGGTCACGTGCGTCCGATTACCGGCTGTGAATAAGAAACGTCGGAGACTTCTTGCTTCTCGGGGGTCGATGTCGCCGATCGATTCTCTCGTCTTGATTCCTTTTCGGGAAGCCCGATCGGGTTTCTTTTCATTTCTTATTTTGGCGGAATGGGCGTTGTTTCTGGCCCATGGAGGGTCGTTCGCGACGGATGGATCGAAGACGAAAGAGGACGGAACCGTTGAAGATTTGAGGTGGAGAATAAGGAGGATAAGGGAGGGAGAGGGAGGAGATTGTTTCTCGGTGGAGGAAGGGTGGATGAGATCGAGTTTCGGGGAAGGAAGGTGTCGAAGGAACCGTTAGAGACTTCTTACTCTCGAGGGTTGGAGATGGAGAACGACGATTATCTTTTCCACGTCTATTTAAAGTTCTCTCGAGGAAGAAGGGTGTTCAATTTCTCTTTGAAGCTTTCGAGTCAAAAATACAAAGAAACAGGAGTCGAGGATTGAAATGCGAAATGCGAATCTAAATGATATCGAGTTTCCATCACGGTCCGGTCTACGTCACGTGGGCGTATTATCGTACCTTCGTTCGAAATCCGTCTGAATGGGAGAAAGAATTGCGAACGAATCTCCTTAAAAGAGAGAGGGAGGGATCGATGGTATCCGATGATACGAGCGCGAAGCAAAGAAATAAGAATAGATCGATTCGAAAACGTCGCGAATCGATACGAGATTGAACGGTCACCACGAGAGAGAGAGAGAGAGAGAGAGAGAGAGGGGAGGTGAGAGCATGTGCACGGACAATAATAAGGGTAAGAGACGCGTGCATTTCCGCGGGGCGTGTGCGTCACCTCTCCTCCCCCCCTTCAACTCTCCCCCTCCCCCTTTCAGTCAGATTTCGAGAACGGACGCGTGCCATCGGTGAAAGTCGATCTGGACCGAGACAGAGACAACGACACCACGCACAAGGGTTGAATTCAGACGAAAATAGGTCCAGCCTTCTACATGAAAGGTTTCGCTTCTTCGACGGCCAGCTTGCGTCGGAGTTCAAAGGAGTTCATTGTTATCTTTCCTCCTGCTTCTTTTTTCACGTTTGTTCAGCTTCGCTCCGCTTAATTCTAAACTCGTGGTGTTAAATTAATTTCGCTTTAAAACCGATCTGATGGGTATTGAATTCCATGGAAGAAGTTGTTAGGAGAATTGAAATTATTAGATATTCGTTGTTTTTTTTTTTTTTCTCGTTTAAAAATTCGTGACACGTTTTTTTGTACTCTTACTTTTCTCGCCGCTTCTCTTTGGCGAATTTTTATTTTCCTTTTTCTTTTTTTTTTCTAGGTTCTTTCGGGAATCAAGATCGCAGACGAGTGAGGATTCGTTTGTCCAGCGAAGAAAAACAAAAGATGGCCGCTTCCTGCGGTCAAGTACAGCCGCCCTCGAGCACTTTGCTAATAAGCGTTCGCCGAAAGCGACGCAGACCGAGGCCAAGGATCGTGTTACATCTCCGTTGAAATGTTCAAGAGTGGCACTCTCGCCTTTTTAAACAACCTTGTTTCTTCCTCTCTGCGTTTCCATGAGATTCCTTCGGGCTGCACGTGTCATGCCGTCCGCGTTTCCCTCTCGAGCCTAATTTTCCTCGTACAAGTGCACCAAATAAATCCTCGCCTGTTGATCCTTGAAAATTAATCTTCCAAAAAAAAAAAAAGTCTTTTTTCTCCTTAAATCTTTTTTCTCCTTTTTTTACTGTATCGTTGAGATTTAATTTTATCAACGAAAGACGAATTATTGCTTGCGTCTTCAAGAATTGCATTTTTCATTGTCCTTTTTTTCCTTTTTTTTTTTTTTTTTTTTCTTTTTTAAAGATACTTTTAAAAAGAACAGATGTCGCTTTATCAAGAGGTGCATCTAGCTTTTAGCAATCCTTCGAAGAGACTCGTCGTGAAAAAATGGAGATGAGCGGAATAATCCACGGTGAAGAACAAAGGTGGTTGAAGCGAAGGCGTACCCGATTGAACGGAACGAGAAGGACCGTTTCATATGTCTGCATCCGGTTGGTCATTTCCGGCACGCGCTGAGACACGTGGCGTGCCCCTTGCGCACTCTAGCCCCTTCTCCACGCAGGGGGGAGTACATATTTTCTTTTAAGGGCCCACCGAAATTAGGACCCATCTAGGCCAAGGGTCCGTCTCTAAACATCGAGTAGTAGGAAGTATCTTTCGTGCTTGTCGGATGGGTGCTTCAAACGTAAACGCCTCTCAAACCTTTCCTCTTAATCGCTCCGCGCATTGTACCCCCCCTTAATAATTGGAGGACCGTAATTAACCGAATCAAAAAGAGGCTTTTATTTATACGATTTTATTATATCAAATTATCACATGATTGAACGATAATATTTGGTAAAAGAAGTACGAAAATTTGACGCGAGTAAAGAAAAATTTTCACACTCACGATTGATTTCTGTTTCCAAAATAAATATATATATATGTCGAATAAAAATAATCGTATGAAATCGTTAAAACGTAAAAGGAAACGGCGACGAAATAACGAGCACAGCTGATTTTAAAGTCCCGCCAAACACCATTGTAGGAGCAGGATTTTAAAAGTTCTTTCCACCGGAGAAGCTGGTCCTTTTTCTCTACACTTGTGCGCCATTTACGCAAGCCAGTACGCACTTGCCGCGTTCCGTTCTTGGACGGCGCGCGTAGCATGAATGGTCCACGGCCTTGAATAGAGAGGAATTCACAAAGAAGCGGGCAAAAGGACCGACAAAGAAAGCCCGGGACTTCTTTTGTCAGAGGGTCTAACAGTCGAGGTGACACACAGGTACGGATTCGGATCCCGAGGAGACGGCGCAGCCTCCGCTATCCTACGTGGATCGAAGCCAGCTCCTTCAACCTGCGGAATGCGTCCCTGCTCCATCCATCCATTTCTCCGTCGTGGACGCGAGAACACAAGAAAAAGAAGACGAAGGCGAAGAAGAAGAAGAAGAAGACGAAGAAGTGTGTGGACAGGTGAGGCAGCCTCGCATTGATTCTCTCCTATGAATTTTTGCATCTGTCGGTAGGTTGATCTTAGGACCTATTTTCCGAGAAGCGTGCCCGAGAGGTGGCACGGCTCCCCTATCTCCCTCTGATTTTTCGTGTGCCTAACTGGGAGGAACCGCGATGAAAGGAAAACCGCAATGTCGTCGATCTCGTCGACCGGAAAAAAATCTCGTCCCTCTTACGATCCTCTGCGTTGAAGAGATTGGATCGTCGTCGGTTACTTTCCTTACGATTCCTTACGATTCTTCTTTTCACTTTTGCCATGTAACACGAGCATCAATGGAAAGCCTTTTCGAGTAGGAATATTCTCGGTCGAAGTCGAAGTAAATTCTATCCCTTCGGAATCGAAGAAGAGAAAATTTGTAATAATTAAAATGAGAAGAAAACAGAACAACGTTTCAACGTTTGCCGAGTTGCTCTCTCGCAGAAAATGAAAGAGCTCTCTCAAGCTGCGTAATTAATGCGCGTTCGATTGAAAAAAAGGTTGAAAGGGGTGGGCACATTCCTCCGATTCTTTACTTGTTGCTTCCGTCCACGGGGCAGCCACTTCCGGAGGGAACAAGGTCTTCGACCGTCACCCCTGACTCGTTCAACAACGGAGCCATGAATGAAGTTTCGCGACAATGCGAATTCACCCTTTGATGCTGGGGTTGCAATTAGACCGCACGCGCATTGCCCGGCCTCGTTGATCGCGCGCGCGTGCATCTGCTCCGCATCTGCGGACAGATGCGTAGCTGTTGCCCGTCTCTCGTGAACTTGAGGAGGAGACGTCTCCTCCAATGCCCGGAAATGAAATTCTAAACACCCCCTCTGCCCACCCTTCCTCCCCTTCCTCCTCGGCCACCGCGAGAACAATCAAACAGCCATCGCGATATTCGAGGATCACACGAGCGGTTACACGACCATTACACGAACCCTTCAATCTTTTTCCACGGAGATTCCTGTTTTTGACTCGCGAGATTCTCTTTTCCACTCTGCGAAATTCGGTCGATGAACGGACGAAGCCTTGATACAGCTGGCACGCAGAGGATGAGGCCGCTTCCTGTTGGAGGCGGAGGAGGATCAGGTTGATGGAGGAACGAAAGAATGTTTGGTTTTTTCTTTTTTTTTTATCGTTGGTGAAGAAGATTATTCCGCTTGGTAAATTAAGGGTGAAAATTTCTCTCGTTCCATTCTATTCTATCGAGTTTAAAGATTGCAGTCGAAGTTTTTTGCTTCGTTGTAATTTGTCGATTCTACGAAGCGTAAGAAAGTGAGTTTACGATTACAGTTATTGAAAACGGGGTTGAAGAGAGAGAGAGAGAGTTTGGAAATTATTTTTAGAACCATTGACACCCCTTTTAGGAATAGTTAAGGGTGTCCCTTTTACTCACGAATCGGGGAATTTCGACAAAACATCAACACGCGGTGTTTACGTTCGGTGACGCTTTAAGGTGCCGACGTTTGTGGAGCACGTAATTCACCGAAGTTCAGAAATAGAAGAAAGAAATGTGCATAAGAAAGCGAAACACGAGGAAACGCTTCCTACAAAAATTTCGAAACTCCGTTCTATTTTCTACTCCTGGAAAGTATCTCCAAGGATTATTAAATCCTCCAATCTCCACAACACTTTCAGCAAGTATCTTCTCGCAAATAAGTCAAACTCGAAACGAAAAAAAAAAAAAAATGTCTATTCCAAAAAATATCATAATTAGACTTTTGATATTGGAAATGAAATAATTGGAAATGAAACCCTCCTTCAAAGGGAACGAGGAAATATTTAAAATCTCGTTGTTCTACCTGCCTCATATTAGAAGAAAGAAACGCTTCCTCGAATATCGTTAACTCCTCGTCAATTCGTTTTTATTAATCTTAACCGCGATTCCTATAATCGTCCACTTTTCCCCTTCCCCCCTCGTCGAAAGTATTTATCAAACACACGCCACACCTATCGGTCCAAAAGCTTCCGAAGCAGATGGCACAAAAGTAGCTACTCACTCAGAAAACACATGCTCGCCTCGGCCACGTGGTCTTTCGGTTACACCCATGGTCACGGCTCTACCCCATCTTACGTATGCTTATATGACGTGGATAAACACACTCGTACCCTTCTTCCTTTTCCCACTCTCTCTCTCTCTCTCTCTCTCTCTCTCTCTCTCTCTCTCTCTCTCTCTCTCTCTATTCCTCTCTTTATCCTTGGCTCCGCACGAGGCTAACCGATTCAATCTCCCTAATGGCATCGTGTTCCTTTTGCCACGAGCTAATACGATGTATCATGCACACTAATGGGCCAATGGACTCCGTACCTGATTATTTCGACCGCGGCGATGCGTGGGTCGGCAGGTGGTACTTTTCGTCGATGAACTATTTTTAAGAAGGGTCACGATACGATGTGTTCCACTCACGACGATGTTTTTGTGCCGAGCGACCGACCGCTTATCGTGCGCCATTCTCTAGAACTCGAATGGTGAATGGTGAATCGATTCCGATTGAGAGAGCCCTTGAAGTTGGAAAGAGAAAGAGAAATTTTAATAATAGAGCTTCTTAATAATCAAGATTTGTTTCGAATTTGTTTCGAAATTTGTTACGAATATTTGAACAGAACGACACTTCAATTATTCGATGTTTATTTATCGATTAATATCATTTAACGGGTCCTGCGACGGATCTTTAAGTTTTTTTGAGCGCGCGAATGATTTTTGAAGAATTGTTATTGGACATCGAAGTAAATAAAGAAATGATAAAGGAATACGAAGAAGGGGAAGAAAGAAATTTTCGTGACGAGAAACGCGAGGGGATGATTTAAGAGGAGACAAGAGAGGAATAAATTGGGGATGAGGGATCGATTTTGACAGAATTTCTCATTCCAGCAGCGGCCTCGCCTAGGGGTGAAAGGGGCCGAAGAAAGGAGATGTGAAATCAATAAGATTTGATTTACAAGATCCAACAAAAGTGACCGCAGGCATTTTTCACGGTCGATCACGCCTCCGAGCACGAGGTCTAATTGACACCGACGTAACCGACACCTTGACTACCCTGAACAACCTCACGGCTCTTCTTCATCGCTTCGTTCGTCTCCGAGAGAGAGAAACAGAGAGAGAGAGAGAGAGAGAGAGAGAGAGAGAGAGAGAGAGAGGAGCAAAGATTGTGTGAGACTAAAGACCGGTTTGGTAATGGTCTTAAAGGCGATTTTGACCCTCCTCTATGCGAACCGTTTTGTGTTTCGTATGAAACGCGGTGTGTTTAGAGAGCCACTTGAAAAATCCTCCAGAGATCGATAAACATCTCTCTTCTTTCCTTATTACCGCAGACAAGGTAGAGAATATATATATACTATTATCTTGTGGGATTTTCTGTTACGAGACTGTGAAATATCGACCATAAAATAAGACCGAGTTTAGAGAAGCTAAAGCTTTTTACAAACTTAAAGACATTGCATTCTTCTGTAATAGAATTGGATTCTGAAAATATATTTCTAATTACATTACAGCGATTCTAATTATTTTGAAATACTTTTTTATACACTTTTAGCCTATTTGAATTTAAAACTTAAAACTTCTTCTCTCGAAATTTCTTCGCTGTCGAATAAAGCCAGAGAGTTAAAGAACGTTAAAGAAAAAAATTAGAAATTTCCTCGATTCAAGAAATTAAATATCACGCGATTCACGGGTTCGAACCTCGGTGAAACTCAATTCCTTCCTCCGCCGACTTGCACGTCGGGAAGCATCCGCAGGTCTGCGGATCAAGCGAGACAGATGCGTGGAAAAGCGGAGAAAAG